GAGCCTTAGTCTGGGGCAGTGTTTTACAATTGTGGCTAAGGTCACGCCTTCTGTGTCAACTGCTGTCCTCACGATTGTAATTTAAAGACACTTTAGAATGATTAATTGACATTTAAGAAGTCTCATCTTGTTTTCTGAGTTTAGAACTCTTTGTTGCCCTAATAGTTACACATTTGCTCATTAACTGCCTGTCATGGCTGTCTTCTCTCCTTTTCTAGGCATTGAAGACATAGTACCCAACAAAACAAACTTCTGCTTTCATGGGTTTTACTTTTTATGTGGTGGGGGAGGAGGGTTGGGAAAACCAAGTGTAGAAGTTAGCTGTTAATGTTTGAGAAAAGCCGGAGAAGGGAGTTAAGGAATAGCAGGCAAGACTGGGAAAGATTGCCCAGGATGCATTTGAGTGGTAAGTGCTGCGTAGACATAATCTCATACAGATGCCTGTAGACAGAAGAACAAGTGTCAAGGCCCTGAGGCAGGATGGGCCTAGTCTGCCAGAAGCATAAGGAAGAAGGAGAAAGTGATGTCAGAAGCACAGTGTCATATTGGGTCTCTTATGACAATGCTGGTTCTTACTGAGAAGCAATGAGCAGTCGCTGTGACACAGGATGTTTTGTCCATTGTAAGATGGAGGCTAGGTGGCCTCCTCGTCCTTAGCACAGTCATGAAAAAGGCCTGTAGGGATCGGTAGAAACTCAGGAGAGAGGTGACACAGACCTTGAGCAGTGTGGGGGAATAGTAGTTAGAGTCTGAATGTACTTTGGGAACAGTCAGTAGCGTTTGCTGAGGGAGAGTTGGAGGGCGGGGGTAAGAGTTCCGGGGTTGGGAACTGGGGCCATCAGTCAAGGAGATGGGAAGGGAGTTGCCAAGGAATGGGATCAAAGCAGGAGTGTGCACACCAGGGAGGGGGAAGCGGGCCAGAGCGCAGTGAGCCATGCCGGGTGCTGCCTGCAGCCCAGGAGAGGTGAGGCCTGACAGCGCTCAGAATTCACTCTGTAGGTGATGAGCTCATCCGTCTGCGTTCCTTGGCGCGGTGACGGGGAGAAAGGTGGAGTGCGCTCACCTTGAATGGGAGGGTCCTAGCAGGCAGAAGGACGTTTGTGTTGTGTGGCCATCGCCTGCACGCATGTGTAGAGGAAAGGCTTGTTTGTCGTCTAGTAATTGGAGCCCTGCCAGCAGTTTATTGGGAGGAGAAAGTTGGTGACTCAGGAGACAGGCTCGAGATTTGACAGCAGTGCTCTTGCTTAGCAGCAGGCTGACATCTGCAGTGACGGGGTTAGACTAACCCTTCGGGAGGTGGGAACCATCCATGCTCCCGCAGCTCTCTCCTCGTATTGCATGGGATCTGGTCGGCGAGTCGAGGGCCGCGGATTCCATGTGGCTCGTGTTTGTTTCCTTGGCGCTTTTCATTACATGATCTGGCAGGTGTCCCAGAAGAGCCATGGGAGCTTATAAAATGGCTTATTAAAAGTTTCTTTCAGAAAATGAGCATTTTCTTATTATTTAATGGTCCACTTTTGTTTAAACTCAGAGACCCCCTGGAAATTGCTAAAGACTGAAAGATAGTATTATTTTCATTAATCTATAAAGAATTTAATTGATTCTAAGCCTCTTAGACTTTGCCCAATAGAACCTCTGTGTTAAGTAATACAGTGAGATAGAGGCATAGTTAACAGTTTAGCTAAATCTGGAGTCCAGGTGACTGTTTCTAACTTATGTAACTTAGTTTTGAAATTCAGATTTTTATGTATGAACATTTGTGCATTTAAAAATACTCAACCCTTTGACATTGGGCCAGATTTATCCTAAATTAGAGGCAAGCAAAGCATGACATAAAAATATGTAAATTATAAGGGTCAAAGTGGAAATACTGTCTATGTCTAAATTGTGTCCTGTTTAAAACTCGGCGCCTTGAAATTGTGTTGTATGCCACAGTTGGAATGAACTGACATCATTTCCTCAGCATTTCTTTTGGTGGAACTTACATTAAAATGAAAGCTTAGAAAGCTCCATCACCTGTATAGTGTTTTATGTCTGTACTTAACAATATCTGTACATTGCATGCACTCAGAAGGACAGATTGAGAAAAACACTGGCACCCTAGCTTGCTCTTTCCAGTTGCCTGGCTTCCTGCCGCTTCTGTTTCTACTTAACTGTTACCTGCTTGGGCCTGGCCACACAGAACTGGCAAAACTAGATAATCAGCACCAAAAGCATTGGTAAAAGAAGAAAAATAACTCAGCAAGAAAATGAGCAAAAGATAGGGACAGGCCTTTCACCAAAGGGAAGCCATGAATTAACCAATAAATGTGCTTCTATTTATTTTTATTGTATAAATTTATTATTTTTAGTATATTGCATACTAGCATTGTTAATGAGCAAGAAGATGCAAATTAAGATTGCAGTTGAATATCATTTTATATCCTAAAAGTAAGGAGGGGAAAGGATGTGGCTGAATAGAAACTGGTACTGCTCGTGAGAGCATAAGTGCTGAGTGCATTGTGGGGAATAAATTTGGTATCACGAAAATTGAATGTGTGAGTCTGGGAATGCAATATTGAATGAAAATATAAAGTCCTATAAGAAAAGAGCTGTTTGGTGTCATTTTATGGCTTTATAAAAAAACGTGGAATACCATCATGTTAAAAGAGACATAAAGATATAATACACTTAAAGCAACGTAATGATAAAGGCCAAATAGATGTGCACAGTTAAAGAGAGCAGGGGTTGAAAGTTTGGAACAGTACGAATAACTATATCCTGGAGTTGGGTGACAGTTACCTAGTTGTTTTTGTTTGTTTGTATGAAGTCTCATGTAGCCCAGGCTAGCCTCCACCTTGCTTTTTAGCTTCGGCTGACCTTGAAGTCTTGTTCTGGCCTTCACCTCCCAAGGCCCTGTTCCCTATGGATGTGATTCATCTTTTCACTGCAGATCAATACTGTGGTGTGTAAACGGACCCCAGTGTCGTTTAGTTCCTTGGTTAAAAATATCATCTTTGTTTTGTTTTGTTTTTCTGTTATACACATATATACTAGGAAAGTTCTGGAACTTGTCTCCTGTTCCACATGTCGTAATTTCTCTGAAATATATGCCTAAGAATTAGGGAGACTATGTATATTCAGTTTCCATTCAGTAGGACTTAAAGGCATGAGCCTGGTGATACTCATGTTATTATTTTGCTTTGAATTTAACTAAATATTTGCAAATAATTGTTGTAGGTAACCAATAATATATTTGAGCTATGATTAAGACTGTGCTGTCATTCTGTTAGTAGAGCTCTTGCCTAGCATTGATATAGTTTTCAGGGATTTGTTTACAGAATTCCCAGCATTCTGTAACCGAGCTGTGGTGGCTAACTCCTAGAATCCTAGCACTTGGGAAGGTGGATGCCTGAGGAGCAGCTATGTCATGAGTTCAAGGCTAGTCTGTGCTACATAAGACATTGTTGATCTGGAGTCTAAAGTCAGAATGTAGGACAGGTGTCATCACTTCTTGCTTTTTCCCTACTGCCTTTAAAGTCAATACTGCTATTAAGTTGCTGGTTTAGCCTTCTTCATCAGTAAACTTGTGTGTGTGTGTGTATGTGTGTGTGTGTGTGTCTGTGTGTCTGTGTGTCTGTGTCTGTGTCTATCATCTGATACATGAGGTAACTAAGACTTGTTGCAGATGTGATACAGCATTTTAAAAAGTAACACTGTGTATCTCTGTGGGGGAGGGGCACCTGGGTTCCATAGTCTGTGTATGGCAGTCAGTGGACAGCTTGTGGGAACTGGCTTTCTTCTTTCATCATGTGGGTGCCTGGGATCAAAATCAGGTTTAAGGACAAGATTCCCCCCCCCCTTTTTAAACTAACTTTACCTTCTAATTAAGCACCAGCCCAGCCGGTTGACATAGTGGCATGTGCCTATAGTTCTCACACTTAGGAGTTCAAGGCTAGCTCGGGCTACAGGCGACCTAGTTGCAACAGATAAATAAACAAACACAAAGAGTAACAACGGTAAAAAGGAGCCAGCCCAGTGATGACATGAGATGCTCACAACTGGATTATCATTGATAGGTGTTTGAAGGATAAGTGACTGATTCTGTTTGAGCTATCAAGTTACGATTACAGAGGTTAATAAGTCTTAGGACCCAAACTAGCAGCAGGCAGGAAAACAGCCAGTGCTGACGATGAGGGCACGTCTTGTGGGCACAGAGTAAGAATGCAGTTAGACGGCTCACCGGAAGTAGCTCGGGTACTCATTCCCAAACACTTGAGACTTGAGGCAGTGAAAACCATGGGAAGTTCTTAGAGCAGACGCCCGGAGCCTCGACTCCGTGTCCACACGCTGGGGCTCTGCTGCTCAACTACAGTCTCACGAATAGGAAAAACGTTCAGATAACCTGCAGGTGCCATGGCCAGCTGTGTTCTGTGAAGGGCGGGAGGGGATTTGCTGAGGTTAAACTTGTACAAATCCATTCAGCTCTCCACCTCGTTTACCTGTAACTGAGCACACCCAGAGCAGTACTGTGTTTTGTTTTGTTTTGCTTTGTGTGGTGGTGTTTTTCTTCGCCAGCCCCAAAGGGCAGAGCTGGCATTAGGTCTGGCCCTGCCACTCACTGGTGTCTTCACTCTGCCATCACATCACTTCTTCAGGTCTCAGTCTCTTCGTTAACTAAAGCCGAGCTGGGTGATCTGTGGCAAATACATTAAGCCACCTAGTTTTCACAGATTTTTTAAAAAAACCTGTCAGTCTATTTCTTTTTTAAAAAGCTTTTTTTTTTTTTTTTTACATTTTATTTATTCATTGTGTGTGCGCGCACACACACGTGTGCCTGTTTGTGCATGCATGTCCATGTGTTTGTGTGTGCGAGTGTGCACACATGCACCATGGCAACCTTGTGGAGGTCAGAAGTGGTTGAATGTTGAAGGGTGACGACGGGTGATGGGACAGACGCACAGAAGGTGCTGGGTCAGCTGCTTCTGAACACAGCCTGAGTGTCCCTTCCTTTCCCACAGGTGTGACTCTTCTCGCCGTGTGCTCCAGGAAGCAAGTGCCCGAGATCCCCTGTCTGCAGATTCATGCCAGCCCAGCACCCGGAGGCAGGTCAGTGTTAGGACGTTGGACAGCTGTTGATAAGGGGCCGGGGATGGCATCCTTGAGGCCAAGCCATGTCTGCTGAGCTGGGATTCAGAAGGCAGGTTTCCAACCGTGCTTCATGGCCGGAAGCTTCGTAAACAGGGGAAAGCCGCTTTCTCTGCAGGGCATTGACTGTTCTCATTGAAACTGGGCATATTGAAACTCACTATCTGCAGGGACAATTCTGCCTTTAAATCACTGGTTATTTTTTATTGTGGGCAACCTGTAAATGGACAAAATCATGGTTAGAAACGTTTCTTCATCCCTTTCCTGGAAACCATCAGTGAGGCTGATGAACCAACATCGTGAAGTGAAATCCCGGCAGGTTGTTAGGGCCCTTACCGTGTGGAGCTAAGTGGGCTGGCAGCACTCCGTCCGCAGAGCGCCAGTCAGTCAGCTCACTGACCTGCTGATGGGACCTGTGGCTGTCCACCTCTGTCCAGCATCCAGAGCCCCAGACAAGATCGAAAGTCAACATGGAAGGCCAGGCTTTTTAGGGATGTGCCTTTGAGCCCTGATAAAGCCCACACAGGCAGCTGGGCCCATGTCCTGGGGCTCCAAAGCATGGTTCTCTTTAGTCAGTGGTGTGGTGCCCACCGTGAGTGCCCCCTTCTAGCGAATGATGTGGTAAGGTGCTGGGGAATCCAGACTCTGCAGCCGCCATCACTGTGGTGTTCCATTCTAACTCCTGGAGCTTGAGCGGCTTGGCTTTTCCTGGGCTTTCAGTCTTTCCGGAATGGTCTTTATTCCAAGATGGTGCTTGTCCGGCCATGTTCGTTCTCTGCTGGTCGAAGATCCCTCCACTGAAGTTCTTTTACCCAGAAAGGGCAGGAGTGTTCCCAGAGACACAGGTCCAAGGGCAGAAACCCAGCCAGATTGCACAATGGCGTCCCAGGAGCCTAAGCACAAAGGTTCCCAGCTCTCAGCGAAGGGCCTGTCCTCTGCACACACGTGTTTCCCTGTCCTGCACACACTGTGTGCACGTGTGTGTCATCTGCACACATGGTGTGTTTTTCTGCCTCTGGCCTCTCGCTGTCTTCAGCCTACCGTGTGTGATGGAGGCACGCACGCTCAGCCATCCCGCCCAGGCTGTGTGTTTCAGTCTAGACTCTCATGGCAGGTTTTCTCACCATGTAACAGCCTGAGCATACTCACCCTCTGTCAACCCCAGACAGGCTGAGGAGAGGGGCATTTCAAACTTTCCTTTGGCCTTTGGTTCAAAGCCTGTTCTCTAAAACCCACCTGCCCACTTCCTCCCGAAAGCAGGTCATAGCCTGGCAGTGCTCCTTCCAGCAGAGAGCAGACCTAGAAAGCTTAGTGGAATGGCACATGCCGACTCAGTCTCCACTCACTACCACATGAGGAAACGGAAACGTTCAGGGAGGGAGCTCAAGAAATTGCAGGTGAATTTGTGGACTCAGATACTGAATTTCGGGAAACTGAAAGCGACAAGTGTGAAATGTTTTTATAATCAGAAAAGAAAGTTGCAAGATAAAATTGCATTGCTGGTACTTCTAGAATTTTAAATTATAATTTATTTTTTGTTAACTTTAAGGAACAGTGGTTAACATTTGAGGCCCAGGAGGACCAGCTGTGTCTCACTCCGTGGAGCACCCGCCCAGCAGGGCCAAGGCCTTGGGTTTGGTCTTCCTCACTGTGGATAAACTAATGTCACTCAGCAGGCAAATAACTTCAGACTTAGGAATGTTGATAATCTTCAGCATAACTTTATCTGTTGCCATGAAACCCTGTAATTTTTTTTTTTTTCTTTTTCCTTTGACTTCTGGCTTATTGAGGAATAATGCAAGATTTGCATGCTCTTCCTTACTGCACTGAATTTTAAGTCTGGTATCCTTCACCCGTGCTTACCTAGAGAGCTGAGTATTCATTGACTCCATCAGTAGGACAGTTAAAATCAGTCCCTGTAGAGTACCCCAGCAGCTTCGGAATGAAAACCTGCCAGGTCTTCTGCCAGGTCAGAGCATGGCTCCTTTCAGCAGTCTCTCTGGGGCGGATTTTCTGAGTTCTTGTTTCTCAGTAAAATGGCTTTGTTCTTAGCGGAAGTATCTGATGCGATGGCCACGCGCTGGTGGCCTGATGTAGGGTGAGGGGGCTTTGCTTCGCTTTGCCTGACGTGGGGAGAGGAGCAAAAAAAAGGGCCTTGTCAAGGGTGTGAGCTGGTTGTTCCCCCTGTAGGCTGTTGTTTTAACCAGGGTCTCTGCCGAAAGCCCTGGGATGTATTAACATAGTTATGAGGTGTCCAGGGCTGCCTCCGAGCCTCCTGGGAGAGCTAATGTTTGAGAAAAGGGATCTGTGGGCAAGTAAAGAGAAAGGAGGAATTTAAGAGGAAGTCTCCCCCCCCCCACACACACTTTGACCTAATCTAGTCGGGCATCAGGCATGTGCCCAAGCAAGTTGCTTTGTGTTTTCTTTATATAACAGAAAGGTAGACTGCGTCCTCTTTAGGAGTGTTTGGGACACTTGTCATCTCAGCATCTGGAGGCCACGGTGAGGGAGAGAGTGCGGGGTCAGCCCGCACTGTGTAGGGAGAGCCTGTCGGAAAGAAAAGACGAGCAAGTACAGATGAGTCTAATGGAAGCTCTCGGCAGTATAAATGCAGAGAAGACGGGCCTCAGGCGTCTCTGGAGCAGCTCTCGGCTGTTCTTTGCATGCACTGAAGGAGGAACTTCAGAAACTGGTCTAGACTCATATGTCAAAAGCCCTGGTTCAGGGGACTGTGACTGTGTGGACGGATCTACGTGGGAGCAGGAGGCCTGAACAGGCTGAGTTGAGGACATACAGAGGCCCACAGTCTTTTTTTTTTTTTTTTTTTTTTTTACCCAGTATTTTTGTTTTTTAATATAAATTAGGATATCTCATTATCTTGTTCAAGAGATGCCTCTGAGAACCTCACATTTATGAATATTCACCTCTGCCCCAGTTTTGATTCGAAAGTCAAACTTTTACAGAGCAGAGTTAAGGTTTAGCTTTAGTTCCAAAGCAAATCTTACCTTCTCCAGAAACCAGTAGGTAATCCTTGTGCTTTGCTGTACACAGGTGTGTTTAGATGTCTTTGAAGGAAAACCAAGTTTTTCAGAAAGCAAGTGATCTCAACTGAAAGAATGCCAGCCACATGCCAGGCTGGGGAGAGGGCTAATCTCTGCCAGACAGTGTCCCTGACAGCAGTGCTGCCCCCACAGACTGGAAGGTGGAGAGAGGGTTCTTCAGAGCTCACCGCCACTGTGTCTCATGTACAGTAGCAAATGACAAAGGGAGTGTCTTAGGCAAGACGCTATACCCAGACCTGGCCTCTGACTCCATATGCATGCTATCACACACGTACACACACACACACACTCACACACACTCACACACTCACACACTCACACACACACTCACACACTCACACACACACACACACTCACACAGGAGGAGTTAAAATAGAAAGAGTGCATCACGCCTGGCTGTGGAGGTCTTCCTACACACTTGGGTTGTCTAGAAAGTGATTGTATTTATATGTGGGCTTATCTTCTCTCGTTTCTTGGGTCATGCTTTCCAGTGTTTTTCATTTCTTGCACCTGCTGAAGAATGGCCTGTTCAAAGGATTTAGTTTGATAATGTCACATTTATATTTGAAATCCACCCACTTCATCTGAATAATAGCTAAATGGGAATAAAAAAGCAGTGTTATTAGCGGGTAGCATTTACTGTTTCTTTGGGTTTCTTTTCTTTTTCATATATTCCTTCATTTATTCTCCCTAACAAATTGACCTTGTTACCCTAATTATTTTGGTAAGAGACGACAGGCCTGGAATTGCTGGCTCTGGGGCTCCCTCTTTAGCTGTTTGGTTATTACAAGAAAAACATCTCATTTCTTCTTTTAGACCCTAAAAGGGCATGAAGCATTTTGACTATGTGAGTGTTTGAATGTAGTATTTGAAGATGCTCATTAACATAACAACCTGTGGATGGTTAGTACATTAAACACTAGTCTCAAACATCTTATTCTAACGTTGAGAAAAAGCAAAAAAGTTCCTGGTCGGAGAGTGTTTTGCAGTAAAGTGTTTCAGTGTCTGCTCTGACCCCGGATGGGGTTAAAACTCAATTTGGGGAAAGAACCTGCTAACTTGAAATTGAATCTCAATCCTTGCTGGGCCTAACTGTCTTTTTGGTATTCCGTGTGTTAGTTTGCGTTGGCAGTCTATATCTGTTTCAGTAGGTAGATACATGTTAACCTTTTCCTGTCAACAGTATGTATATGAGACAGAATCTCATGTTGTAGTCCTTGCAGGTTTCAAACTTGTGATCCTCCTGTGTGCTGGGATGACGGGCATGTGCCTCCACACCTGACTTTGAAGACTTGTTTTACAAGCAATTATCTTAATGCCAGTACTGTGAACTCAAGTACAAGAAGTGCAGCCAGGCTGCCAAAGTTGCAGGTGTTTCTAGGTGTCCGTCTCTGTTTTTTTTCCAGCGTTGCCTGCACTCTTGTTCTTGTTTCTGTTGTTTGCTCAGCTTTCCCAGCGTGTTCAGTGGCCAGTCTAAGTGTGAAGGCCAACTGGATAATTATCTTGGTAGCATGTCTTCCCAGTAGGAGAGGGGAGCCATGGGATATTTTCAGGGTTGTTCTCCGAAGAGTCCAGCTTAGTTTCATACGAGAGCTTCCTCCCCGAGCAGGGAAAGGAAGGGTGCTCCATGTAGTTGTGGTGGGAAGAAAGTAAATATGTTTACTGTGGCAACTGAAGGAAAGTGAGAAACGTGTTCTTGAAAAAACCGTTTGAGATTTAAGTTCAAGTCTGTTTCAAGGTTGTTCATTTGAGGAAGCTCTTTTTGTTTTCTTGTATTTGTGATTTTGGGTTTTATGCTCGACTTTATTTCTGCAGCTTTTCTTCGTGAGTCTGAGTGAGAATACATCCTAAGTCTCCTAGTGGAAACGGAAATGAATGAGTGCTTCAGTCTTACCTTAC